ACGCGAGCCTGCGTCCCTAGGCAAACTCCATGAAATCGATCTCGGCCACGAAGCAACATTGCGGAACATTGCGCGAACGGAAGCTGCGACTCGGAAACTTGCAGGAGAAGAAGACGTGCCGACACCGAGAGAAACCCCAGTACCGGGGACGAGTCGCTCTGGTCCGGATGGGAAGCCTTGGCGGAATCGCAAGCAGAGGACAGATGCGGACATTGAAAGAGATCGTCTTGTGGAAGAAGTCCTACGCGAAAGCAAATGTGTGTGGTACCCGAACGTGAATTTTGAAGGGTCTTTGCTAACTCTGGCCGTTATAGTGGATGTCTACGAAGATCCCGAGGATGAAACACATCTAGATGATCAAGCTGCTGATGATCGAATCGCTGAGCAATTTCGACGAGATTTTATGGATGCAATTCAGTCCCGTCGCCGGACTACAAAACCTGCACCCAAGGTTGCCGAGGGGCCTCGGGGACCAAAGCTGGGAGGCAGCCGGAGTGCCAGAGCTGCTATGCGGGAAACGCAGACAAAGCCAGGACACAAATGATTGTCATGTTCCTTTTGGGCAAATGAGCCCTTTGTCTGATACTAATGTCTCTTTTTATGTGGCATGTATTTTTTTTAGTCGATACCTACAAGATACCATCATGATATTGCATAATTTGCTGATTCTCTGTCACAAGTAACTAAAGTTATTGAGATGTATCTACAGGCAAGGCGGCTCCCCCAGGTTATCGGTGCACATAGATATGCCTTCTGGCCTTGTCCTGAGAGGTCGCTGGTTTGCTAAAACCCAAATATTTAGGCTTTTCTAGCTGATGTCGATATCTAATATCCTTTGGGCTCTCTGTAAACAAATCACTCTTCGGCGTGGGTGTGAAAATTCCAAAATGGGTTGAAGATGTCTCATTCTTAATCTCAACATGGTAAATATATAATGGCCGACCCCAGGCACTTGCTCATCACATATCAACAACACAACACAACACCCATAAAACTAGGCCAAGCATATCTGTATCAAGTCCCTGCAATCACAATAGCCTGATGCAATGTCTTCGAATGAATCGCCAGGCGGTATTTGAAGCCGATATAACCACGTGACCTGATGCATATGACTAAGCTCTCAGGTGATGCCAATCGACCGAGACAGCTGAAGCAAACAACTGCAAAAAGACGGCCCTTCCCTGCCTCAAACCAGCCCCATCCATTGCTCGTCGCTTTCGCATGAGAACGGACATTTGGCCCTCTCGTCAAGAATTGTTGCATAAGACAACCGCGATCGCGACCCATACCCTCCAACATCCCTGCGCAACCGCAATGAACCCTTCCAACCCACCTCAAGCTGCCGAGTATGGCGGAGGTACGTGATTCTAATACCATGCCAATTGCGCCCACTGCGATTTGAGTAATTGGACTGGCACCGCTCTGCAAGATGCTAATCTCACGTGTATAGACGAGGTGTCCGCCATTGTCCTGGACCCAGGATATGCAACCACTCGCGCAGGCTTCGCTGGTGAAGATGCCCCCAAGTCACTGATCCCTACTTACTACGGAAAATACAACGCCGACGGACAAGAAAAGCTTATCTACGGCGATGATATCTTCGTTACCCCGCGACCCGGTCTGTCCATCCACAACCCCATCAACAAGGATGGAATCGTCGAGGATTGGGATATGGCAGAGAAGGTGTGGGAGCACTCATTCACTTCACGACTCACCGGCACGAAACCAGGCAATCCATTCCAGAATGGATTGAACGACATTCCTAGCGAAGAGCTGCCAACAGAGATGGAGGTGGAGTCGGATGAGAAGCCTCTCTCAGACAGCCCATTGTTGATGACGGAGCCTGGATGGAACCCGACCAAGGCGCGTGAGAAGACTATTGAAATCGCAATGGAGAAATGGGATACCCCGGCTTTCTATCTGGCGCGCACTGGTGTTCTTGCTGCGTATGTACTAGGTCTATCCGCTGTGTTGATTATTCGCTGACTTCTTTGTAGTTTTGCTTCTGGCAAGGCCTCCGCCCTTGTAGTCGACATTGGCGCTTCTAACATTTCCATTACCCCAATCCACGATGGCATGATCCTGAAGCGTGGTGTGCAACACTCCCCGCTTGGAGGTGACTACATCTCTTCGCAGATCAACGCATTGTTCAAATCTAACTCCCCGCAACCGATCACAATTACGCCGCACTACCTTATCAGCGCAAAGGCTGCCGTCGAAGCTGGCCAGACACCCCAGGCGAAATACAAGACTTTCCCCGCCGACAAGGCACCCGATGCGTCATACCGCGCTCTTCTCGAGGAGCGCACACTGGGCGAGTTCAAGGAATGTGTTGTTCAGGTGTGGCCTGGGCCGACCAGACTCTCTGCCTTGGGTCCCACGGGCGTTTCCAACGAGGATATGGCCCGTACCTCCCCCGGCCGCCCCTTCGAGTTCCCCGATGGCTACAACCAAGTCTTTGGTGTCGAGCGCTTCCGCGTGGTAGAATCGCTGTTCGATGCCAAAGCTGCCATTCCCGACCCCGAATCCTCTTTCGCTCCCCCGACTCCCGCCCAGACCATTCCAGAATTGGTCAAGGCCTCTTTGGCCGGTGTTGATGTGGATATCCGTCCCCACTTGTTGGCCAATGTCGTTGTGACCGGCGGCTCAAGCTTGCTCTATGGCTTCACGGACCGTCTGAACCATGAGCTTATGCAGATGTTCCCTGGCCCCAGAGTCCGTGTCACTGCCCCTGGTAACACCTCTGAGCGGCGCTTCGGCTCCTGGATCGGAGGAAGTATCCTGGCCAGTCTGGGAACCTTCCACCAGATGTGGATCTCGAAGAAGGAGTACGAGGAGCATGGACCTAACATCGTGGAGAAGCGTTGCAAATGATCTCACATCTTCGCATCTGAGTCCTGTTAATCTGGTTTGATTTGATGTTTACGGGCGTTCTTGCGCTATCTAGGGCGCGAAGGGATAGGCACACTTGCTCTGGCCAACAAAACCGATCTTAGATATTTTTGTGTACGACTAATGCCACTTGATTTCTCGATTTGAGAATAACATGATATGTTGTGTAGACACGGGGTTCCTCCGAGGCCTGTATTAACGTTAACTTGTTGACTGTACTTATGCGTTGGCTGCCAGCGCATCCATGCAGGGTGGCCCGTGTTTCAACTTATTTATCTGTCAATTTCCCCCAGTTCTACGAAGTCCCCTCCAGATTAGACTTCAAACCGAGTCGAGTGAGAAACGTAACCAAGGTGTATCATTATCAACATGCAAATCACAAATATCAGACTACATCGTCAAGGTCGTTACATCCGCTGCAAGCCACAAAAACAACAGAAACACGCTAGAGTCTACAAGATATGAAAACAATCCAAACAATGCAAGACATCCAAAGCGCAAAACGTACAAGAGGGATATCGTGAGTCGAAAAAGTCAAGAATATCACAGCTGACCCAAAACAACCCCAGTCTTCATCTACTAGCCCGATGAATCAACCAATGCAGAACAGCATCGAGATTGGTCTCCTCCTTCGCACTAATCCCGTAGCAGCTTACTTCTCGATGAGTGATGGATTTCAGGTCCATCGCTTCAATCAACTCATCCACGGATAGCTTCTCCGGGAGATCGGATTTGTTCCCGAGCACCAGTAGCGGGATGCTGTCCAGCGTGGGCTTCTTCATTAGGTCGTGCAGCTCTTCTGTCGCTACTGGTAGTGCGGCGCGGTCTGCTGCGTCCACGATGTACCTGTCTCACTGCGTCAGCGTGCCCCGTGTCCGGAGATGGGACTGAGAGATACGAGTCTTACACGATCGCGTTGACGCCTCGGCAATACCGTTCCCACATCGGCCTGAACCTGGGCTGGCCGCCGAGATCCCAGCTTAACAGGAATATTAGTGATGTCGTTTGTTAAATAAGGTGGAGGGGGGACATACCATTTGAGGGTCACATGGCCCTTTTGGACTCTTTTTGTGTTGAACCCGATTGTTGGGATCGAGCTGCCAAGTACACACCGTGATGAGATACAGCTGACAGGTTGGGTTAGATGGTACATAACTTACTCGACAGTGAACTCGCCGCCCTGCACCCGGTCAGCAACTCAGTTCGGATGGAAAATACATGGGATCTTGATATCGAGGATGGGGGAGGAGGAGAGGGGGTAACATACCGCCAATACACGCAGCAGTGAGGACTTTCCGGCATTCTGAAGGCCGATCATGGTGACATCCATCTCCGTGGCCCTGGATACTTTAGCAGGCTTTCATCCTGGGATGGGCCGTCCACTTACCAGAATACCCTTAGAAGCCAGTCATAGATAGTGCGGAAAATGGCAGCCATGGTGAAATATGAAAACAAAAAAAAGAAAAAAACAAAAAGGAGAGAGATCAAAACAAGCTCAGCTGCCAGCAGCGGAGAGGCTTATGAAAGAGGTGGGGTCGAAGCCGATGAGGTTTGGACATAACCGCCCGCGGCAAGTCAAAACTACGCTTTCAGGCGCTTAGGCTGGAACCCGTAGCGTAGGAACTATTTCGTCATTCTATTTGATTTTAATTGTATGGTAATTAAATTGTATATGGCGGGGCTAAGAAATTACTGGCGTATCTAGGCTTGAAGGAACATACAGTAGATTACGTAGGAATATGAACATAAGCAGGTACATGAACGTCAAAGGACAAGGAACAGGAGACTAAGGAAGTACCGTTAGCCTTGGAGAATACGGTAGTATGGCCTAATGTGGCCTCAGGCCGCACTACATATCACCACGTGATGATAACTCGGTTCCACCTCGAAAAATTTCCCCAAGCAGAACGGAACGGACTTGCTTTTCTGTCGTCTGGCAGCTGCCATTGTCGGTTCAATCCCCTTGGGTTCAAGCATTTTATACTCTTGGGAGGCTGTGGAACTGCATTCCTGACATTGTCATCCCATTTTCATTCCCCCATTTACCGTGACCTTTGCAAGCTTTTTTTTATCTATACAATACCAGCCAAGAGCTGCGGATTTCCACCATGGCCCCTGCCGCCACAGACACCCAGTGGTCGGTGGACTACGACACCCTGCGACGGGAGAACCTGTTCCAGAATCCTCCCACGGATCACACAGCCTACCCGTCGCTGGCCGAGTCGATTCGGCCGCATATCGATTCTTTCAATGCACTCTTCGAGGATAGCAAGATTATGGAGGCTGGATTGAGAGATATCGGTACCAAGACTTTTCTCGATGGAGAGCTCGAGACCTATGAACAGAAAAAGGCCCGTCAAGCCGAGGGTCTTCGCCCACCGAAGCGGAATCGTCTGAACGTCCGCGTGCGAGAAATCTTCCTCGAGAAGCCCACCCTGCCCCCCACAAACAAGTTCGCAACCCGCAACCGTGAAATATATCCCTCAGAATGCCGAGAGCGCCATGCGACATACCGTGGTAAGCTCCGTGCTCGTCTCGAGTACCAGGTCAACAACGGCGACTGGATGGAGTCCGTCCGCGAGCTGGGTAACGTCCCCATCATGGTGCGCACCAACCGGTGTCACCTGGAGAAGGCCACTCCCGAGGAGCTTGTGCGCCACAAGGAGGAATCTGAGGAGCTGGGTGGTTTCTACATTGTTAACGGTAATGAGAAGCTGATCCGTATGCTGATCGTCGGCAAGCGCAACTTCCCCATGTCCATCATTCGTGGTTCATTCGTGAAGCGTGGTCAGTCTTACACAAAGTTCGGTGTTCAAATACGATCAGTTCGTCCCGATCAGACATCGCAGACCAATGTGCTTCATTACCTCTCCGATGGAAACGTGACCTTCCGTTTCTCATGGCGCAAGAACGAATATCTCATCCCTGTGATGATGATTCTCAAGGCGCTCGCTGAGACCAACGACCGCGAAATCTTCGAATCCATTGTCGGCGGTGCTCAGTCTAAGGGCATGAAGAACACCTTCGTCACAGACCGAGTCGAGCTTCTCCTGAGAACCTACCATGCCTACCAGAAGCACAGCCAGTACGACTGCCGGTCCCACCTGGGTAAGGCTTTCCGCCCTGTTCTTGGTGTCCCTGCGGACATGCCCGACGAGGAAGTTGGCACAGAGTTTCTCCGCAAGGTCGTTCTCCCTCATCTTGGAAACGAGAATGTCACAGAGTCTCAGGACTGGGACAAGTTCAAGATGATCACCTTTATGATCCGGAAGTTGTACTCCACCGTCGCAGGTGACTGTGCTCCTGACAACCCCGATGCTGTCTCCAACCAGGAAATCCTGCTTGGTGGCTTCCTGTACGGTATGATCCTCAAGGAACGTATCGAGGAATGGCTTCGATCATTTGGACCTATCGCTAGAGACTGGTCTATTCGCAACAACGGTGCCAAATTCACCGATTCAGCATTTGAGCGGGACTTCCTCTCCAAGATCGTCAAAAGATCCAACGAGAACATCGGTAATGCGCTCGAGTATTTCCTTTCTACCGGTAACTTGGTCAGTCCTACAGGTCTTGATTTGCAGCAAACCTCTGGTTACACTGTCATTGCCGAGAAGATCAACTTCTACCGTTTCATCAGTCACTTCCGCATGATTCACCGTGGTAGTTTCTTCGCCCAATTGAAGACTACTACCGTCCGTAAGCTGCTACCAGAGAGTTGGGGTTTCCTTTGTCCTGTGCACACTCCTGATGGATCGCCTTGTGGTCTGCTTAACCATTTGGCGCACAAGTGTTTGATTTCTACCGGTGACCTGGAAGTCTCTCACCTACCTCGACTTTTGGTCCAGCTTGGTATTCGGTCCGAGTCTTCTGTGGCAATTGACGAGAGTGTGGTTGTACAGTTGGATGGCCGAATTATTGGTTACTGCTCCCCGAAGCAAGCCCAGAGAATTGCCGACACCGTTCGGTACTGGAAGGTCGAAGGAAAGCACAACATCCCCCGTGAATTGGAAGTCGGATACGTCCCAAACTCAGCCGGTGGACAATACCCCGGTGTCTACATGTTCTCCCAGTCCGCAAGGATGTACCGACCTGTCAAGTACCTGGCTTCCGACAAGCTGGACTTCGTGGGTCCATTCGAGCAGCCCTTCATGGAGATTGCCTGTGTCGAGTCTGATCTGATCCCCGGTCTCTCAACACACATCGAGTTCACCCCGACCAACATCCTGTCAATCGTCGCCAACATGACCCCCTTCTCCGACTACAACCAATCTCCCCGTAACATGTACCAGTGTCAGATGAGCAAACAGACCATGGGTACACCGGGTACCTCAATCGCATACCGTACGGACAACAAGCTGTACCGCATTCAGACTGGTCAAACGCCAATTGTCCGGCCACCACTGTACAACGCCTACGGTCTGGACAACTTCCCCAACGGTATGAACGCAGTTGTTGCCATTATCTCTTACACCGGATACGACATGGACGACGCCATGATTATCAACAAGTCCGCCCACGAGCGCGGCTTCGGTCATGGTACAGTCTACAAGACCAAGGTTCACACCTTGGCCGAGGGCGACTCCAAGCGCAGCAAGTCCAAACGCGATGTCACCAAGCTGTTTGGATTCGCTCCCGGCGACGAGATCAAGGAGCAGGTGCGAGCCATCCTCGACGAGGATGGACTGCCTCACCTGGGTGCTCGCGTCAAGGAGGGAGACAAGATCGCCGCCTGGCACAATGTCCGCTTCGATCCTGCCTCCGACTCGTTCGTCAACGTCGACGGTATCACTCACTACATGAAGTACAAGGATGCTGAGGAGGGATACATCGACAGCATTCGTATCATGGGATCCGAGAATGGCAACGAGCCCATGCAATCCCTCAGTGTCAAGTACCGCATTCCCCGAAAGCCGGTCATTGGTGACAAGTTCTCCTCTCGTCACGGTCAGAAGGGTGTCTTGTCACAGCTCTGGCCTGCGGTCGACATGCCCTTCTCCGAGAGCGGCATGCAGCCCGATCTGATTATCAACCCTCACGCTTTCCCATCCCGTAAGTTCCCACTTCAATCTACCTCCATCCCACACATCTAACACTTCACAGGTATGACAATCGCTCAGATGATCGAGTCTATGGCCGGAAAGGCCGGTGCCATGCACGGTCTCCCCCAAGACTCAACACCCTTCCAATTCTCCGAAGAGAACACCGCAACCGACTACTTCGGCGAGCAGCTCCGCAAAGCCGGCTACAACTACTACGGCAATGAGCCCCTGTACAGTGGAATCACAGGCCGCGAATTCTCCGCCGACATCTACATGGGCCTGGTCTACTACCAGCGTCTGCGTCACATGGTGAACGACAAGTTCCAAGTGCGAACCACCGGTCCCGTCAACGCCCTAACCGGCCAGCCCGTGAAGGGTCGTGCCAAGGGTGGTGGTATCCGTGTCGGAGAGATGGAGCGTGATTCCCTGATTGCCCACGGCGCCGCCTTCCTCCTGCAAGATCGTCTGATGAACTGTTCCGACGCCCAGCATACCTGGATCTGTCGCTCTTGTGGTTCTTTCCTCTCCACCCAGGTCGCCGTCTCTGGCTCGTCCCGTTCCCGTGCTGCTATTAACCCCGGTGCTGCTGCCGCCGCTGCTAAGGCTGCTCCTAACCAGCAGAGTCACTCTCACGCTGCTGGCGCCGTTGGTGCTGTTGGAGGTGTGGCTGGTATTGTGCGTTGTCGTCGTTGTGCCCGCGAGGCTGTCTTTGATGACTCCCGTGCTGAGGTCTGGGAGGATGGTAATGGGCAGCGCTTTGTTGGTGGTGACAATGTTACGATTGTTGCTGTGCCTGGTGTGCTCCGCTACTTGGATGTTGAGTTGGCTGCTATGGGTATCCGCATGAAGTTCTGGGTGGATAACTGATAGACCAGTCTCTCTGGCTGGAGTAAAAAATTCTCTTATTTTTTTTTTGCTTGTCATAGGTGGCGTATACCTGGTTTTTAATGATTATACTCAGATGCGTTTGTTTCTTTTTGCAAATATTTCTTCATGTACGATCAGCATACAGCAGAATCAAGTGTTCAAAAAAGATGTTTTTGTAGACTGATCATACCTAGATGGAGTTTTTACAGCTTATACCGAAGGTGACTACAAATCAGCCAGAAGAAACCTTGGAACCTTGGAAGAATCAAGTTCAATATCCAGCAACAGAAACTGGGAATGCCCAGTAAATTAAATCCCCGAAACGAAGTTAAACCTCATTATGCTACAGTCGTAGGCCACAAGTCCTTTTACATCCCCACCTTTATAATACCTACATGATGAACCTGAGGCATTCGAAATGAGCAAAAAAGAGGCGAAAAAAAAGAGAGGCTAAAGTAGGTCGAACAGACGCATGAAACGGTATCCTCGCTTCGCGGCTTTCGTGTACTGCCCAAAACTTCGTCAGTGGCACTGCATACAAATTTATGAACCCTGTTGTATTAAAACAAGACAGATCATCAATTGATATGGCGAATACTATATCCAGTATACTAATCCCAACAAACTATAATCTCAAACAGACGCCTCCTCCTTAAGATCCTCCTGAACCAACCCAGTCTTAGCCGTAGCAAACTGCCTAGTAGGAACGCGATTCTCAAACAGAATGTCCAACTCGGCATAAGAACGCCCCTTAGGCTCTGGAAGCCTAAAGAACGACCAAACAAGACAGATAATACACAAAGCGCCCCAGAAGAACCCAGACTTCCCCCTCCAATTCCAAGCATCAACATTAAGCATATAAGGGATAATAATCCCAGTCACAAGATTGAGAATGTTATACACATTCCTTGCCAAAACAATCGACTTCGTCCGCAGTCTGGACGACGGCATCTCAGATACAAGTGAGAAACAGACTGGTCCAACAGTCGAGTCGTAGATAAATGTATAGACGAGTAGCATCGAGCCCGTCGCCCAGGATATCGCCGGCGTCGATCGTGCAATTGACACGAAGCCGATTACTAACAGGACGACTGTTAGAAGGCCTAACCCCCCGACGTAGAGTGTGCGTCGACCCAGGTAGGTCATCAATACCCATGAACTGAGTGTTCCAATTACTCCGATAGCGTATTGCACGAGGGACATCGTGAACGACTGCGAAACTGCCAATCCTGCGCGTTGGTAGAAGACGGTTGAGTAGCCCATTAGTCCCGCGCCGCAGAGACTCTGCGCCGCCCAGACACAGCATGCGATTTCCGTGCGGCGGCGGTCGATCCCCTTGAAACAGTCTAGGTAGGAGGTACCAGTCTCGACGCGCTTCTCCAGGGCGTTGGTGTAGATGATCATCGAGACTGTTTCCTCGGCGCTGAAGCCAGGGCTATTGGCTCTGGTAAGACGCTTCAGAGACTTCACCGCGTCTTCGCGTCTGTCCTTGCGGACTAGCCACCATGGACTCTCAGGCGCGAGGTAGACACCGATGAAGATTGGGACGGGCCAGATCCATTGGATGGCGAAGGGGATGCGGTAGGCCCATTGGTCTGTACGTGTAGCTAGGCCTTTGAGCACGCCACTTGCGATGAGCTGGCCGAAGACCCAGCATAGGTTGACGTATGTGGTCAGATAAGCGCGCAGAGAGACGGGGCAGACTTCCGAGGCGTAGGTTACCGTGAGAGTTTGGTAGACGCCGAGGGGGATACCCATGAGGAGCTCGCCAGCGACAAGAGTAGAAATGTTCGGCGCGAAGAAAAGGATGAAGACGAAGCCGACTGTCGCGGCGAGGCAGGCCATTAAGGTTTTGCGGTAGCCGTAGCGTTCGGAGACAATGCCGTTGAGGAAGAGGCCGATGATTTGGCCGCATGCCATGGCGTTGTTTAGGCCTGCTTGCCAGGACGCGGCGAGTCCGTATGACCCGTCTGACATGAGGTTTCCGTATTTCTCATTGAAGGCTGGAAAGCCGAGGAATGAGCCCAGGAGGACTACGTCGTAGCCTTCCATGATGATGGCGCAGGATAGGAGGAGGGACCAGCCGACGGCTTTGGGGTAGATCCTTAGGGCTTGCCAGGGGGTCATGTTGTGTTCTTTTTCGATCACTGCGTGGGCTTCATTGCTGGTTTTGAGGTCGGTCTGGTTGACCTCTGGATGGGTTGCATGGTCGATTGAGTTGCTGCCTTTCTCGACATGTTCGGCCATGGCTACCTTTTCAGAGGCCATTGTTGGATTCTCAATGGTAATTTTGTGTCACTGGCTATTGAGATGGAATAGAACATAATTTGTTCGTGTGGGCGTCCATGGGAATTTATACGCAAGTTTGCGAAGGGTTTCCCGGGGGGGCTGTCCATACTGAGCGAGGATAGACCGGGGACGCCATTGGTTGCATACCGAAATCCCTTTTCAAGCGAGGCCGGTGGCGTGGAGAAAGTTTTCCCCAGATTGTTCGGGGTGATCCGCCCACTGACCCCGGATTTTCGGACTGTAAGGGAACTGCATGATTGGACTGGTGTCGGGCCGGAGAGACCAGAAAACAGACACATTGCTAAATTGTGGCCATTTGGTGTTTTGTCTTGAGTTGAGGGCTGCAACTTCTCCCAAAGGGGCTAGAGAGACACGGCATATAGCGCCGCCTCATTGGCAAGGAGTCGGGCCGACATGCGCCTTTTCCCCTCTTATCCTGCAGAGTTGAGGATGTGAACTTATTCGTGTGATGGTGAGAGCGTGAAGAGCGTGAAGAGTTCTCATGACTTTGGTATACTTCTGGAGCAACCTCGGGGATACTCACCAGCTCCAAGACTCACCACCCCCTATTCGCCTGATAAGCACCCCCACATGCACTCGGGTGGAACAGATTCGCCAACTCGGCCCGACATCGAGTCAATTACAGTATACGCCCTCCCTACAGTATGAGCTCTCACAGGGCTCAGGACTCGACCGTCCATGGTGCCCTGATTAGCTAAAACGGGTTCTCGTGGGGGTATATAGCATACCTGCCCTTTCATTGTACAGCTATTTCTTCCCCAATTCAACCGTCTTCTTCTGTTCTCCTTTTCATCTCTTCGCCTCCGAAAACCATGTCTCCAGCAAGAGTGGGCGAAAAGTGGTGGAAAAACGCTATTATCTACCAGATCTACCCTGCCAGCTTTAAAGATTCCAACAATGATGGCATCGGCGACATCCCAGGCATCATCTCATCCCTTGACTACATCACAAGTCTTGGTGTCGATGTGATCTGGCTATGTCCCATGTACGACAGTCCCCAGATTGATATGGGCTATGATGTCGCCGACTACGAGAAGGTGTATGAGCCCTACGGTACCGTGGAAGATATGGAAGTTCTCATCGATGCATGCCACGAGCGAGGACTCCATATAATTCTTGACTTAGTGGTCAACCACACCTCAGACCAACACAAATGGTTCCAAGAATCCCGTTCTTCAAAGACAAATCCAAAGCGTGACTGGTATATCTGGAAGCCGGCCAAGTATGATGCCAACGGCAAGCGTCAGCCCCCGAATAACTGGCGCAGTATCTTCGGTGGTAGTGCGTGGGAATGGGATGAGACTACGGAGGAATATTACCTCCACCTCTTTTGTGTTGAGCAACCTGATGTCAACTGGGAGAATGCCGTGACTCGTCGGGCGATCTATGAGTCTGCGATGGAGTTCTGGTTGAAGAAAGGCGTGGATGGCTTCCGCGTCGACACGGTCAATATGTACAGCAAGCAGCCGGGTCTTGGTGATGCGCCGGTTCTTGATCCGAAATCCGACACGCAGGTTGCTTTCTCGCAGTTCTGCAATGGTCCTCGCATTCATGAGTATCTCCGTGAGATGAACGATGTCCTTTCCAAGTATGATGCCATGACTGTTGGCGAGTGTCCCAATACGCATACTCTGGATGGCGTACTTCGATACGTCTCAGCAGCTGAGAAGCAATTGAGTATGGTCTTCCAATTTGACCTAGTGGATCTGGGTATGGGCAAGGACTATAAATTCTTAACCACGTTCCCTGGCTGGACACTGCGAGACTTGAAATCAGCCGTGAAGAGCACCCAAGATATCATCAAAGGCACCGATGCCTGGACTACGGTGTTTATGGAAAACCACGACCAAGGCCGCTCTGTCACTCGCTTTGGTTCTGACAAGACACCTGAGCTAAGGGTTCGTTCTGCCAAGATGCTAGCCATGATGCAAAGCACTCTTTCTGGTACTCAATTTATATACCAGGGCCAGGAGATTGGAATGGTCAACGCCCCCAAAGAATGGACAATTGACGAGTACAAAGACATCGATAGTACCAACTATTATCAGATGACCAGCAAGATTACGAATAACGACCCCGTAGAATTGGAAAACGCGATGGCTTCTCTGCAGCATCTGGCTCGAGATCACTCTCGACTTCCCATGCAATGGAGTGCCGACGCCAACGCAGGCTTTTCGCCTTCTTCCTCGGCAAAGCCGTGGATGCGCCCGCACGACAATTATCCAGAGCTCAATGTGAAATTGCAGGAGACGGATGATGCTTCTGTTCTATCGTTCTGGAAACAGATGACTAGACTACGCAAGGAGTATGCCGACGCTATGGTCTTTGGAGAGTTTGAGATTCTCGACGAGCCGAACCAGAACGTCTTTACATATTCCAAGAAGGGTCTGAACACGAGCCTATTGGTTGTTTTGAACTTCTCGGACAAAGTACAGAAGTTTGAAAAACCGGATACACTGAAGGGTGATAACTGGAAGTTGTTGGTTGGCAATGTAGAGGGTCCTAGTGAGGAATTGCAGGCGTTTGAGGGAAGAGTTATTTTGATTTAGGGCTGGATACACTGCAGTTAGGTTACATAGCTACACATGGGACTAGATTGTCATACAAATTATAGCTGATTGGCATGGATAGATGCAAACGAATATCTCGATCTATATACCTCCCACATGAACAGACCACGCTATTTCCCACAATGATTTGACTAGGACAAGAATGATCCTACATACATGAACTAGTAAGTCCATTCCAAGCCTTAATAAGCGATATGCCATCCTGATTGGATCACTTCAACTCACATGGAACATACTTGCGGAGGCCCCGAACTACGCCAAAAGAGTATTAAACGCCAAGACATCAACATCAAACGCGGGGGAGAATCATCTTCACCTCAAATCTCCGGAACATACAGATATTCATGGCCAGTCCGACATCTCAGCGCGTGCCCAAAGCATGCGATGCCTGCAATCGCCGTAAAGTCCGTTGTAATGGCCAACACCGCTGCCAACAATGTGAACACCTGGATCTCCTCTGCACCTACACAGAGAATCACTCGGCGCGATCAAGAAAACATGCTCTCCGCCGAGGTACAGTGATATCAAAATACAAAAGTGGCACACCCAAATCCACAACTCGGACACCACTACTGCCCCTGACGACCTCCCGCCTACCAACCTCCCGCCTACCAACCTCATACTTCTCAAGTCTTCTCCCAGACTACATGACCTACGTATACCCCTTCAGCCCAATAATAACCGACACGGAAGTCCGCCACTCAATCAGCAAAATGGACACGGAAAGAGAACATGCAGCTTTCGTCTACGCCTTTACTGCAGTAACACTGGACCTAACACGCGCATCTCAATCTCAATCCACACTAACACCCTCAACGTCAACCTCAACCCAAATCACCGAACTACTACGCCAATCCGTCGAAACCCAACAACCCCTCGTAATAGGCTTCCGTCCCTCAATCCTACGCGCCATGACAAGCATCTTCATCCAAATGTGCGCCATGAGCCTAGGCCAATACGACCTAGGCTTCTTCTACCTCCGCGAAGCAATAAGCATGATCCAAATCCTAGGCGTAGACAAAGCAAGCACCCTCTCCGACCTGGACATAACAGAGCGCGCCCGCCGCCAACGTCTCTACTGGCAATGTTTCATCCATGAGCGCTTCATGTCGATAGTATACTTCTCGCCGGTGACGCTCCCGCCACACGCGCAGTTCCCCGAGGAAGATCCGCTTTCTGTTGAGCTTGGGCTGGGCAGTGGGATTCAGCAGGGCTGGACGCAGGTTATCAAGACTTTTTGTATGCTTGATGCCTCGTTTATTAGTCTTTGGATCGGGGATCGGTCGCGGGTTACAGCTTCTTGGGTTGAGGCGAAACATCGTGAGCTTGATGATGCGTTGTGGGAACTTGAGGTTTCGACGTTGTCTGAGTTGCAGCAGGCTGATCTTGTTGTTACGAGGCAATGGATGCGCACTTTGTTGTGGCAGATGGCTATGTCGAATTGTTTGTTGTCTAGTCATGCTTCTTGTCCTTCTTTGGAGCTTGAGATGCCATTGCAGTTGTCTAGTCAGCTGAGAAGGTTTTTGACGAAGATCTCGCAGAATACTATTCGCGTGCATGGCTCGTCGATGATTAGCAAGTTGTTGGAGATTATTAATACTATTGCTGATGTGGTTATTCATGTTCCGCAGGCCACGCGTGAGGAGACCACTTGTCGCATTGATGATATTGTTTTCATGCAGGGGGTTGTTCTTTCCTTTCATAATTTGCAGGTTATGTCGAAGAATATTCTGTTGGATAAGTTTCGGGTGATTCGGGCGAGGTTCTCGCATATCGAGGTTGCTTCGCAGTTGGCTGTTTAGCTGAGGTGTTGAGTTGCTGGCAGAAAGCAGGAAGCAGGGCTACTTCTATTTAGCATAAAGATCGGGGATATTGAGCAGATGTATCCATGTCTATCTGCACAGTTGAAACCCGTGAACCTAAGCATAATCCAATTCAATGACATATCGATACCAATATTACACACATCCCGCTCACAGCTCAGACGTAACGTTGGAAAACTCGCCCTTGTCAAGCTTCGTCTTCCAGAAGATAGGGTTCATGTCATCGAAGCCGTGGTGCACCCATCCTTCTTCCTTGACGTGGTACAGGTTAATGAAACCACCGGAGTAGGCATCACGGTGCATAGCAGCCAGAATGGATCTGCGTCCCAGGTTCAATGCCTCCTCCTCAGTCAAATCGTAGCGGTACTCGGCATCCAGCACACCATAAGCGAAAGTCTGACCAGATCCAACACAGAACAGGTTACCGGGGAGGCGGGTACCATCGGAGTCGATGTAGTAGAGAGCGGGTCCTTCTTGGGGCGTCACCTGGGAAATCGTTAGTCTCCGAGTCCAGTTTCACTACCATGTGTGTATGCGACGTACTCCTGCTAACATGGTTCCCATGCTAAGACCGTATCCCTTGTAAGCGTAGGTGAGGTTGGCGAGAATCTTCGAGGCAGCCGCAACAGTGATACGGCGCTTGTGTCGAATTTCTAGGGAACTCATCAGCAACCTACTTCTTCAACAGGACAAAGCTCCAGCTTACCATGCAGAGTGCACTGCTGGCTCAGATACCGCAACCAATATTGACAATCCTAGCAATTTCGAATCTCATCAGCCCAGTCCATCACTTGTCGTTACCTTCAGTCCTAACTTACAGCTGCACCACCAGCCATCGTCCCCAGAAGACCTGGCGTTGGGTCGTTTGATGGCTTGTCTTCACCCCGGCTCAACCGCGATACGGGAATAACCTTCTTGACTGTCTGACTGGCAATCCAGTTGCCGGCTGTTGCTCGAGAATCGGTGCACACAATCTATCCAGGATATACGTAAGTACAACTATATTCAAAGTCACAGATACCGATTATGATCGAAGCGGAGGTAAACGTACGATACCACCCTGGAATCGGAAAGCCAGAGTTGTTGTTCCGTGAGCGAGCTTGATGGGGCAGCTGGGGTTGGAGTGGTCATCGGTCATGGCACGCAGGAAAGCGGAACGCTAGATGAGGGAATAATAGTTAGTCCAGTATTCCATTTGTATCAATGACGAAAGGTCGGCTGGTGAATCTCTGGCGTAGCTGCACTGGCGCCGCAGGTTGTCTTGACGTCAGGACCGAGGAACGTCCCTCGATCGAAGCGCCATCTGAGCTAAAGAGGATCTGCCACAGATTCATGTGTAACTCACGTTGTCGACAGGAGGAAGGGAGAACTTCAGCGAGAGAGGAGGGACGCTCGCAGAGAAGTCCTCCTGTTCTTGCTCGTTGTAGAGCTCATTCTGATGGGGAGGGCGCGAATATTGGGCGACGAGCTTATCCATGATGTGTTGTAATGGGATGGAACAAGACGGTAGAGAAAAGATGCTGGAACGACGAAGGGAGTGTGGTGAGACGGCGATGGTTGAAGCTCCGCTGGAGCTTGGGTTTCCGCGTCACTCTGGCGCCTGCGGTCACGTGGTACCCTTACTATAGAAAACATAAGAGGAGTATAAGACAATAACTTTGAAAGATACAATTCATTAATAACTAAGCTACTTATCATACACAATTTGCATATTTCCTGAGTATCGTCCCATTGCATGTCCAGTCCGAAAACCCTTGCACCGGAGTGCCCAACCTCAGAGAAGAATTGACTTTACACAGCTTAACAGCTACAGTATGTCCAACTAAACAGTGGCCCACTGGACCGGATCTCGAGAGCCTGTCCATTAAACAGCCTCGACCATCATCTTTGCTGGTGGTGCGCCGCTCTCCACGGGGGCAGTGACACCGCCGCTCTCCACCGCAGAGGAGTGCTCCAAACCCTCCGATTCGTGATCATGCTCTTCCACGCCATTATGTCCGTTGGCATGACTGTAGCTGTCTTCGCGAGTCTCACGGGCTGCCGACGAAGTGATGGGCTCAACGCTGGGCTCCCATCCCCGGAGATCGTTCTCAGCATCCTCGAGGACCTGGCGTGCCTCGAGCTCATGGACGTATGCTTGGCGCGCATCGCCAGGCACAACGGGGCTGTCATCAATGTAGTTGAGGAGACGACGAGCATGGCGAGCAAGGATGGTCTGCTTCTCAGAGCGCTCGATCACAGCCGCGAGGTGGATGTCATAGGCCTCCTTCAGCTTTTGTCTCGTCTACAGATGAAATGTGGTCAGCAATTGTACTTTCCATCTGACTGTATGAAACAGAAGAATATCAGAATGATCAACGTACGATATTGGACAGCTGCGCCTCGGCAACCAAGTTCTGAGCCTCAGCCCGAACAAGCTCATGCTCAAGCGTGACCAGACGAGAGCTCGAAGGATCCTTGTACTTCAGCTTGGCGATCTCATCGGTGACCTTCTGGCGCTGGTCGCGAGATGGCTGCACGGAAGCTTCCATGTCGCGGATCTGCTTCAAGATACTGCGGTAGTCTTCGAGATTCTGCGCAAAGACGTCTTCCTGCTCGCCGATCTCCGCGAGCAACACGCCGAGCTTGTCGGAAATGTCAGAGATGTTGTCATCCTCAGTGCCCTCGCCCCATTCAGAGAGCTGGCCGGCGATCGAGCTACGCTCACGGCTAGCGGCTTCGTGGGCGCCGATGGCTGCGTTCTCGTTCTTGATCAGCTTGGTCATCTTCTTGCTCAGCTCAGGCGCTTGCATCCCGCGGAAAGTCGAGAATCTGAACCGGTGCCGGTTGGCAGGGGGTTCTTTGCGCGATCGGAATGAGATGTTGCGGTTCCTGGACTTGTTAGCTATGATGAGTATAGAGATGGCGGACGACCTACATTGTAGAATACTCAGTAATGAGGTGTACCTATGTGGAATATGAGGTAAGTAGAAGTGAAAGTGAGAGGAGAAGAAGTGAGAAAGGCGCTTTCCTATAGATGACGATGCTCGAACCCTATTCCTTCTTCACCATAGGAAGTACAGTCCCGGTTGACGTCATGACGGGATGGGCGGAAGTTGACATCTTTTCCGATTGCAGCTTCATATAGTGTCATACATCGGTGAGCTTAGTGCTAACTGCAAACTAGTAGCTGGGAAGTAGGGGTCTGGAATCAGTCGACTGATCGGCTGATCATCATACTCCACTCTCGGCTTCCCGATATCAAAGTGCCAGCCGGGGTATGGATGCCGTTGATCTTGAGCATTGGAGCATAGACTTCGATTGGCAGGACTTTCGAGGTCCCCAGAGATGACTTGATTCGATATGACGATGTGTGCATTCGTTAAGCTCTGAAGTCCACCAGATCCTTCCTAATTTGGAAGTAAGCCACCTTCATGTTTTCCCCGTCTATAGACACATAGATGACACCCTATAATTGAGAAACCTTGCTATCAAGATGCAAGATTCCCAAAAAAAAAGAAAAAAGGAACTATAAATCAAGAAAGGGCAATATCATAAAAATAGGGATATATCGATTAAAAATCCCATCGCCTATCACAAGCTCGAGAAAAAAGGAAACTCGAAGAACCATAGGAAGACCGCTTGGGCAATCTTATTGTACACCGTAAAGCAAAGAAACCTGCATGAATCCGAACCCCTTAACCGCAGTTGAATAGATAGAACCCGCAACACCTGAAAGATTCATGATCCGCGGAATCATTCATTAAAAAAGCGCCTCAGTCGAGAGATACTTGGCCCGTCTATTAAATTTCATCCGCATCAGGGTTGTGCGAATGTTCATTGTCGGACGCATGGAATGCATCTCCGAAGGCCGAATTGTCCAGATCAGGGAGATCAAGCCCATCGTTCTGTTCGCTGTAGGCAGCCAAAGCATCACCCGCGCTGTCAATGTTGGTAAAGTCGAACTCTCCGCCCACTGGACCATGGTCTTTCGTCTCGTTGACCATCACCCATTCGTTGCTTTCGCCATTGGGAGCACCATGGAGTTGGTCTCCCAGATCCATGTCGATATCGGCTGAAATCCCTGCGGGAATTGGTTGCCCGTTGACAGAGACACTGGACATTCCTGGGCCACCGACAACGGGACTGCCAAATTGATTAAGAAGATGAGCATCGTCGTGGTCCATGACCATGTCATTGGTGAATGAGTCAGGTTCGTCTTTGTGCTCGGGCTCAATCTTTTCCAGCAAGCCACCCTTTTCGACACAAGAGACCTTGGGCTCAGACACGATCTGCTTCTTCCAGGCAGTCTCGACTTCCCGGACAATGTCATCAACCTTATACTTGGCCTTATCCTCGACATAGTCAAGTTGTGGAGTTTCCTCTTCTGTGGGAATAACAACCCGGCCCTCCAATCGCCAAATCTCCGGGCCCTTCTCAGCCGGGTCAGCCGCAGACTCCCGAAGGCGGATTTCAGCATCCTTGAGCAATGAAGTGCGGTTGAAGCGCTGCATCCGGCGCGCGTGTTGCTTCTTCATTTTTTCAATCTCGGCGGTCATGTCCGCAACCTTCTTGGAAACACGCTCTGCAAATTCCTCGGCTTTGGCGGGCTCCATCTTGGTGGCTGGCTGGCCGTCGCCCGCCTCTTGGCCTTCGCCACCAGATGTTCCAACAGGAGCATCGAAGAAGCCTGCTGTCAGAGACTCCAACTCACCCTTTCGACCCAAACCAAGCGAAACGGGAGTAATCTGTGTAATAGCATAGGGCGATGCGAAGATCTCTTCCATCCACTCGTGATGTTGCTGGTAACGCATCTTACTAACTTCACGGGGTGTTAAGAGATCCATTGCGTCACCACTGGACACATCCTCATCTTCAATGGCAAAGTCAGCAGTTGCAGCGCCCATAGCAGCTGAAGGAGCGCGGTGTCCGCGCGGCCCTTTGGCTACGGGAACCCCAGCAGGCATTGCGCCTGGGTGGCCCTGAGGATAGAAGCCAGG